TTCTTGGCACTTGACGAGTCGGTGACCATTGTGCACTAAACCTTCCCGTGAATGGGTAAATGATAGGAAGGAAGCCCCTTGTGGGTTTAGACGCCAAAAGGGACCGGGAAGCCATGGGACTCGGCGAGTGGTATGAGCAGATTTGGTGAGTCCATAGCAATCTTGAAATCTTTGAAGATGGTCTCGATGAGTTGTTCATATAACTCGGTGAGTCATAAGCTAACAAGTTCTTAAGTTGGAGATGAACTCGACGAGTTCAAGAAGGAACACGGTGAGTGATATGAATATGGTCCCGGTGTTATGACTGAAGGAGATCCCGTCGAGTTTCACTAGACTCAACGACTGGAGCCGGGTTTTTGTGTGGGTTTAGTAAAGCATGGAATCGACGAGTTGGTAGGCCAACTCGCGAGTTAGGTCAACTGAATGTTGACTTTGACCAGTGTTGACTTTAAATGAACTTGGAATGACCATGTTTAGGGTTGTATATGATTCATGTTGACTTGGAGGTTGTTTTGTAGGGATCGAGGAGTCGTAGGAAGTCGACTTATGCACCGAGGATAGTTCAGACACTACACGACATTGAGGTGAGTTACCTTCCAGTAGGGGTGGGTCTAAGGCCACAATGTCGGCCCACCAAAAAGGGGTATTTATAAGATAATGGTCTTTGTGATAATTATCTTGGTGTGGTTATGTGATTTATCTGGATTATATGTTATGTGTTTAGTAGGGATTAGTTTCCCTAACAGTGGTCCGTAGGACCCAAGGGTAGGCCAGTACCCGAATATGCCTGATTGTATGCTTATATCTGTTGATTGCATGTTAGTAGTATGGGGTGAAATAGTCTCCAGTTACCGGTTGAAAGATACCAATGTTGATTATCGGTTGAAAGATACCGATGATGGTTATCAGTTGAAAGATACCGAGATGGTTACCGGTTGAAAGATACCAATGAAGGTTACCAGTTGAAAGATACCGATGAATGTTACCGGTTGAAAGATACCGATGATATTGTATAGTATGTGGTATGATGGGGGAACTCACTAACCTTTGTGCTTACAGTTTTGTTTTTGGTTTCAGGTATCTCTTCGTCTAAGGGGAAAGAGTCGGCGGCGTAGCAGCGCATTACACACACTCATATGTTCTGTAAGAAGTTTTGGGACTGTTCTCTGATTTTCAATACTTATGATGTTATGGTTTCAAATACAACATTATGATTTTGTATTGGATGTTTTATTAACAATGTTTTGGTAAAAAGTTTGTTAAATACGTTAAACCAAAAATGAAATATTTAGCCTTGAAAGTTTCATCATTACAAGTTGGTATGAGAGCCGTGTTTTGAGGGATTCAGACACACCCTTGGGGGTGTCTGGACTCAAGCCGAGGGACTAAAAGATCTTTCAAGGAAAAATCGTTTTATAATGTCTAAACTGTGAAATTTTAAGAAAGACGAAGTGTGTGATGTGTGCGACAGGCCGGGCTCAAGTAAGTTTTCCCCAAGATACCCATACTTGTTATGTTATGCTATATGGTTTGGATTTAGAGAACTACATGCTACAATAGGGCTAAGGATCTTGGAGGATGCCTTGTGTGCCTGATATATGATTCTGAGAATTGCATGCTAGTTAGGGCTAAGGATCTAGGAAGGATGCCTTATGTGCCTGTTGTATGAGCTGTATGGTAGGAATATTTAGTCAACAGTAGGATGGCCTGTGTAGATTATGTTTGATTTGGTTACTCAATGCACAAATGCTGCTTGCTTTGTGCTATGGGGTTTCTGACAAGCTTCAACTAATTGAGGAGCGGATATGTAACAGTATCCGCAAACTTGTTAGGGGGAGGTGGTGGGGACTCCTACTGTAGTTGATGGCAGATAGTAGGTCGGAGAGTGCACTAAGGAAGCCTAGGATGAGGTCCGTGAAAAGGGTATTGGAAAAAAGGACTGGGTGAAGTCAAAGCAATTCTTAGGGAAAGTACGGATAGATGTGGGAGGTAGTATGGGCCCATACTACTAATAGTAGAGGATCCGTACTCGGACCTAATAGGGCCTAGATGGAACTGGGAAACTTGGAAAATATATGAAATTCGTACGTTTTTTTTTAGAATGGTGGTCACACGACATAGAGCAAGTGGTTTAGGATCTGGGTTAGGATCGCGCTCGGGGGCAAGATCTGAGCATGTGGATGATGGGTTACGCGAGTTCATTGCGTTCGAGATCACGAGAGGTATCCATGAAGCGATGCCGCTTATCTTCGGGTCGATCAAGGAGAGGATCATTGAGCTGATGGAGGATCGACTCAGGGCGTTCAGGAGTGACATGGCGGCTAGCTAGTCAGGACCACGCACATTGTCCTTTAAGGACTTCAGAGGGAGTGGTGCGCCAGATTTCCACGGGGTGAAGGACCCCATTGTTCCCAGACGATGGACTGTGAACATTGAGTCTGCACAGCTAACCACCTTCTTCCCCGAGGGGTCGAAGGTACGATTTACAACTAGGTGTATGAGGGACCGGGCTAGGGACTGGTCGGAGTCGGTTGGTGACTCTTTGGGAGCCTCGGCTATTGAGGCTATGACATGGTTGGATTTCATGACCTAGTTCATAGTAGAGTTTGCACCAGCTGTAGAGCTTCAGCAGCTAGCCAGGGATTTCTTAGATATGAGACAGACTACGGAGACTGTGATGGAGATCACCGCCATGTTCCAGGAGAAGGCTTTGTTGGTACCCCAGTATGTGGGTGATGAGGACATGAAGAGGACCCGCTACCATGACATGCTACGAGCTGACATCCGGGAGCATGTCCGTTTTTCAGCTTGCCCTACCCTGGATTCCATGATTTCTATGGCTAGGGAGAGGGAGATTGATTTGGAGCACATCCGAAATAGGAAGGCAGTGGAGGGCTAGATGGCGGGGGCTTCGGGGAAGAAGCCCAAGGGATCCAATGGTAGGTCGAAAGGACAGTTTGGGCGGGACCGCTGTGGAAAATGCGGTGAGTCACATAAGGGAGCTTGTCGCAGTGGGTCGGGTTCAGGCTACTATAAGTGTGGCAAGGTTGGGCATTTTGGCAGGGATTGTACTGCCCCTACTCCGGCGATGCAGATGTCAGACCTAATTTGCTTTCATTGCAATCAGAAGGGCTATAAAAAGGCCAATTTCCCTATATTGACAGCAGCAGAGGCAGCGGTGCCAGCTATGGTGCTGATTCCAGCGGCTGCACAGGTTGTGGATGGTCGGAAGGCCAAGTTGGAAGCTGCAGTGGTTCGGAGCCAAGTATTTTAGCTGACCGCCGAGGACGCACGGGTTGCACCCGATGTGGTGATGTGTATGACTTCTTATCCTTATTCTTTTATATTATGTCGCTGTGATATTGATATATCATGTGCCTTGTTTAGGATCTTTCCATGTGAACGGAATCCCAATTCAGGTGTTGTTTGATTTGGGTGCCACCCGATCTTTTGTCTCTCTTACCCTTAGCAAGAAGTTTCCGGAGTCTTTGGGCATGTTGCATTGCCCTCTAGAGGTCGAGATGCGGACGACTGGTCGGTGCGAGCATCGGAGGTCTATCGAGACTGTGGTTTGAGGCTGTTCGAGGAGCGTTACCTGGTAGACCTGGTTCCTATTCCGTTGAGGGGGAACAAGGTGATTATAGGCATGGATTGGTTGAGCCCCAATAGGGAAGTGATAGATTGCGCGTAGCAGCTAGTTCGGATTAGGACCCCAAGTGGGGTGGAGCTGGTAGTTCAGGGCGAGGGGCCACAGCAAGGACCAGCGGTATGTTCAGCAGCAAGGCCTAGGCGTTACCTTCATCAGGGTTGCACAGGATATGTCACCGATGTTATGGACACCCGGGATATGGGTAAGGCGACGGTGGGCGATGTGCCCATGGTGCGTAAGTTTACTAACGTATTCCCTGAGGAGTTTCCTAGGATACCTCCGGAGAGGCAGGTGGAATTTAGGATCGACATAGTCCTCGGTGCAGCTCCGATAGCCAAGGAATAATATCGGCTGGCTCCTCCTGAGATGCAGGAGTTGTCTATACAGCTGCAAGAGCTGTTTAGACAAAAAACTCATTAAACCGAGTAGTTCTCCTTGGGGAGTTGCGATTTTATTTGTGAAGAAAAAGGACGGGTCGCATCGGATGTGTATAGATTATCGGGAGCTGAATAAGGTAATGGTGAAGAACCGTTACCCACTCTCGAGGATTGATGGCCCTCTTTGACCAGTTATAGAGAGTATCTTGGTTCTCCACGATTGATCTGCGCTCAAGATATCACCAGATGAGGGTCAAAGAAGAGGATGTACAGAAGATGACATTACGGACATGCTATGGCCACTATGAGTTCTTGGTGATGCCTTTCGGGCTCACCAATGCTCCTGTCGCGTTCATGGATCTCATGAACCGCGTGTGTAGACTGATGTTAGACCGGTCTGTGATAGTGTTTATTGATGACATCTTGGTTTACTCCAAGACGCAGGAGGAGCACGAGGAGCATCTACGGGAGGTTCTGGAGACTTTGAGGAGGGAGAACTTGTATGCTAAGTTCTTCCAGTGTGATTTCTGGTTGTGCGAGGTGCAATTCCTTGGGCACCTCATCAACCAGGACGAAATTTCAGTGGACCCGGGCAAAGTAGAGGCTGCGATGAGATGGGAAGTTTCGAAGTCTCCATCTGAGATTCGGAGTTTCCTAGGATTAGCCAGCTACTATTGGAGATTCATGCAGGATTTCTCCAAGATAGTCGTACCCCTGACCAGGTTAATGA